GTTCAGGACATTTTAGTCCTACTAGTGAACTAGTGAGGCTCAAAATTGTTAACTAGTTATCTAGTAAGAGCCAAAATGTCACTAGTTACACTAGTAGTACTCTTTTTGGCATAACTAGTTAACTACTACGGTTTTAAATGTTAACTAGTACTACTAGTGAAAGCCAAAATGCATACTAGAAACACTGGTTGAAGTACATGCTAATGAGTGGGTGGGATCAGGGCATTCTCTGAACCTTATCATTGGTTCTCCATATAGACCTCCACCTTCCACAAATTTAACCCTTTGTAAGAAGGAGCAAGTGCTGTGAAGCAACGGCTTCTTCCCTACTTTCCATGGAGAGTAAAACATGAAAATTATATATATATTAAATGTTAGAATTGTTTTTTTTAAACTTAAAATAAGATAGAAGATCATTTTAGAACTGTTCTCATGATTTTCTTTTTCCTTTTTTATCCCATCAAGACAGTATTTACAGAAAATATAAGAAAGAGTACGTCTTAAGGTCAGTAGAGTGATAAAAAACAGCCCAAGGTGCAATTGTAAGTTAAAAATGAATGTGTAAATATTTCATATAAATTCATGCTGTTCTTAAAAAGGTAAAAAATTTAATCAGATAAAATTATGGACTTTAAAACAACTGGAACTTGATACATAATTTATGTTCTTGTACTTAATACGTTTTAATTTGGCCTAAAGTCGGTAAACTAAGAAAAATAAAAGGATTCAAGATTCAAGGCCACGTAAAAGGAAAAAAAAACCTAAAATTTAGAGATTAAAATAGTTAATTTATGACAATAAAGTAAAATGTACGAGATTAATTTCTTGTTTAAGTCTATATCAGAAGAGCAGGAGCCGCCTGTTCGAAAATGATAAACGTGGAGCATCTTGTTATAGTAAAGGTTTGACAAATAAGGAAATAGGCTCCTTCCTTGTGTAGTCTGTAAAAACAGTTTGACAAATATATCCGATAAGTTGTTTTATCGGCACATCATCATCACATTGTCATAAAATATTAGGACCCTGAAAAGATACTGGAAGCAACTGTAATTTTCCAAAGAAAGAACCACACTGACTTGGATGAAACTGTCTCTTTTGTGGCAGAGGAAAATGCTTTAGGGGTTCTCCTTTCATCATTTTTTTATTCTCCTAAATTTACATGTTTATTCTCGTACATATACAAGATTAATATTTTCTCTTTTTTTCTTTAAGATGGCTCTACTCCATCGTATAAATGAGCCCTAAAAATTAAATTTTATCATGTAAAGTAAAGGTTAAAAATTGTACTATTTGCAAATGCCCCACAGATGGTGCTATACGTACATATACTGTCTACAGTACTAGTACTACTAGTTGACATTTAGGCCTTTACTAGTGCGACTAGTCGCACTAGTCGCACAGCTTCCATGAAATTGGATGGGTATGGGGGAGGGGAATACAAAGAAGCTGCCTATTTGATTGATTAAGCTTTTGGTCAATGTGGTTGCTTGTTTATTGGTTAAGAAAATTTCCCAAATGCTACAGTTTTAAACGCAGACATGGCTGACACTGTCCTTAGGCTCATTAGAAGGAGATGTATAGCTATTGAAAGAGCCTTTCATCAAGGATCTGCAGGTCCAAGAGAAGTTCACACTCTCAATATTTCAATCGCTAATTTAAGAAGAGTTGAGGATGCCATTAGCGTCGACACTTTGAGGAATTTAATCCAAAGTCTCACAGATCTTAAATCTGTAATCGCTGCACCCGCAGCTACAGTTGCTGGTTTCCAAGCAGGCCGTATGCATTCTGGTAAGTTTGGTAAATTATTGTGTTTTTTGTCGGTTTTGTCGTGTTTGATATTACTTATCAGATTTGATTTTCAAGACTAATTCAGGGACGCATTAGGTAACCAAATTGAAACAGTGTGATGGGTTACTATAAAGACTTAGAATTGACTGTGTTACTTCAGAAACAATGAAACTACTTTGCACCAGTCATTATTTGGTCATTTTTTGTAACTGCAATTAGGCTTTGTAACATGAAAATCTATGTAGGTCTTCTTCCCAGCCATCCAGTTTCAACACATACTCTGATTTCAGTGAGCTACCCACATTGGTCCAATAACTTAAATGACTAATTTTGGGCATACATACTGTATGTTTAGGAAGACAACTAATTTGGCATACTGAAAATATGCACAAAAAAAGTGGTATGGCAAAAAAACTGTTTTCTTTTTTACTACTGTGCTGCATGAAATCACCGGAATATTTGGATTGCTATATTACTGAATTATTTTATTTAAATATTTTTAGGGAGACGAGGGAGACCTGCGCTTGACATTACAAGGGAGCAAATTCAGCTGCTCCTTACTCAAGGTTTCACAGTCAGAGCCATGGCAAGGATGCTTGGCTGTTCCTCTTCCTACCTTCATAAGAAAATGAAATCTTTTCAGTTTTCAGCAAGAAAGAGATTTACTTCCATTAGCAAAATTCACCTAGAGGAGCACATCAGGAGACTCCATAACCAGTTTCCAAGATCAGGCTCAGAAGTAAGCATACTGCAACATATTCTTGTGTATCCTTTTACAAAAATGAACTTTATCGTAACAGCTTTCAATTTTGAACTAATTTCAGATGATGCGGGCATACCTGCGTGCAGAAGGGATTGTAGTGCAAAGAAGAAGAGTTCGAGAGACCCTTAACCGCATTGATCCAGCCGCTGTAGCCCAGAGATGGAGTCAGACTGTGGCAAGGAGAACGTACCATGTGCCATTTCCAAATAGTTTGTGGCACATAGATGGCCATATGCGTCTCATTCGGTAATTGCACATCTTTATTGCTGGGAGTATTATTGAGTCATATTAGATGGGTTTAGTTGATTTGTTTTCATTGTCTTTGTTACCGCCTAGATTTTTTTAGTATGGTATGACCTCTCCCCAATCCATCTTAATCTACATTTCATTATCATCTTCTTTCTCTTTTCTATCTCAATCTTTTTGATCAACAATATTAAAATTAATGAATTTTGTGGTTTAAATGTGATAGAATGATCTGTAAGGGTTTATGTGTAAAGAAGTAATCAATTGTTCATTTTTATTTTATATGCACAGGTGGGGGTTTGTGACGCATGCTGGTATTGATGGGAACTCCAGATTAATAACTTACATCAACTGCAGTACAGACAACACAGCTTTGACAGTGTTAACTAATTTTGTTCGAGCCACCTGTCTTTATGGGTTACCCTCCAGAGTCAGATCGGACCGCTGAGGGGAGAACACTCTGGTTGCTCTTTTGATGAACCTTCTGCAGGGACAAGGACATGCAGGTCACATTGCCGGTCAGTCTGTACACAACCAACGTATTGAACGTCTTTGGAGAGATGTTTTTCAGCAGGTTGTGCACTACTTCTACACACTTTTCTATTCTTTCGAAGATGAACAAATCCTGAACCCTGAAGATAACTTTCAGAAAATGGCTCTACAAGTAGTTTACAAGCCCGAAATCCAAAAACGTCCAGATTTATTTAGACAAGCATGGAACAACCATAAAATTACAACGGCTAATAACCGTACACCAACAAAAATATGGATGGAGGGCATGCTGGCCAACATTGAGCAGGAGTCAACAGCTCTTAACAATGTTTTTGGAGTTGACCCTTACATTGAAGAAAATCTTGAGGCTTGCTTGGCAAGACATGGCATACAGCTAACCCAGTTACAAGCAAACAGAGAAGACTTGGAACAAGCAGTGATTGTGCAACAACCACTCAACATAAGCTCTGATCAACACCAGGCTCTTCAAAATGCAATTGCTGGAATAACACACTTAAAGGACAGGTATCTTGTGTGTGCAAGAGAGCTTCAAAACATTATTCTCAGAACACAATGAACTTGCTAATTATTGTTTTGAAAAGACAATAAAATGATGGAGGCAGAAACTTTATCCAAAAAAAAAAAAAAGACTTGTGCAGAAGCAATGCAACGCAAGTCATTACGTATTGCCTCTATACAGTAAATGTGTGGTGGTGACTTGGTCTGTAGACAGCCTGTCCTTTGTCTGGATTTTGATGTTTTACTTGACTTGGGACATTTCTGCTTGGGGAGCTGATGTGTTTTCGCCAGCCAATGGGGATGGAGATGAGCCCAGGAGGAGGGGCCCAACTTAAATGTGTTTACAATTGTTTACAAGTAATACTAATGACTACCTTTGAAAAGGCCAGAAATCTATATAAAAGGCTCATTGTAAGTTGCAGCAGACTAAGAGGACCTCTTCATCTGACTTGTTTTACCCGCTTTATTGTCATAACCTCAAACTGAAAAATATTTATTTTACTATCATGTGATCATGAAGATGAGAATTAAATTATCTTTAACAATTAGTCAATTAGAAGTTCAACCAACTGACAGAAGATGTATGTGAAGTATTGCAGAATTGGATATTTTTAAAGTTGTAAGAAAAGTCTATAATATTTGCATTTTAAAATGATAATTAATGCTATCATTCTCACATAAAAGTAAAATTTATATTTTAGATTTTGACTATTGGACAGACAAACAAGACGGCTGAAGACTGCAAATAATAATAAACTTTTTCTGTTAATGTCTGGCATTTAGTGGCAAAACATTTGAATATTAAAACAATATGTCAAACAACATATATTTCCATGAATGCCATGTTTCTGTGAGATCAAGCATAATTTATGCGATGAACAACCTAGAACAAAGCAGTAAGAAATGATAACATTTAGCCTCTGATCCTGAGCTTTACATCACAAAAACAAGGCTGTCATGCAAATACAGTTTATCATTGGCTCATTAGTCAATAATAAAATGGTCATAAGTAGCAGGCTTTACAAGCACCAATGTAGATTTTACATAAACAAGAACACAGACTTTAGAACTTGTTAGGGGGGACTAGCCATATTTTAACATTGTTTTTTTTTAGTTAAGATGGTGCAAACTGACTGAAAGTATCAGCTAATCCTGCCAGAATTCTGCTACTCTGAGCTTAAATTGGTAAGGACTAAACCTTTCCAAATCCCAAAGAGTCTTTAGTGGCCTGAAAAAGCATCCGATGTAATTCGTCCTCCTGCATGATTCCTCTAGGAAGGAACAAGCACATCATGCAAGTCGAGGCGTAGGGCAAACGTCGCTGGCCTGACTCCTGTTCAAAGAAGTCAATGCAGGGCTTATTTGGAAACCCAAGGGCAGGGACTTCATCTGCACCAGTGATGAATATCAGAAGGTCTTCGAATCTGAGTTCAGTCAATTTGTCTGCCAGGGAAAATAAATAAATAAAATAAATGACCATTCATGTCTACATCAATTGTCTAACGTGAAAAAATGAGGACTGTATATATTCCACCCCAGCTACTTAGCTACCCCAGCTAAAAAATGTATAGTTTGTAAACATGACTCTCTGGACCACATTTTTCTATACTGAAATCCCACAATTACACTTTCATTATTTGACCTGTGTCACAGTACATTTTAAATGGACTTTGTAGGCGTTAATTAAATTTTATAGTGTTCTTAAAGGAATAAAATGTACCTTCAATCATGTTCAGAACCAGCTCCCAGCAGTAGATGGTGTCCTCCTCTTCCTCACGTCGGTTGGTTCCTCTACTGCTGTAACTGTAAGTGAAGATGGCCTTGAATGCTGCCTTTGACAAAGGCTCCTGCATGTTGGTGAACAATGGTAGGAAGGCAATCCAGTTCCCCTTTACCAGGTCCCACAGCTTCCCAAAAGCGTTCATTCCCTCTGTGAACTGGTGTACCATTCTGGCCGTTCTATAAACCAACAGAGACAGAACATGAATAAAACCATTCAGAAGTTTAGAATCACAGATATTTTTTTAAATGCGCTTATTTTTTGGGAAGGGACTGAAAACTGGATCAAAAATAAAAATGTTTCAAAATACTATTCAAGTATGAAATGACAATTTCTTAAATGTATCTTTACAGTAGCTTTTTGGTTTTAGCAGCCATGACCAGGACAGAAAGAACAGAGGCAACCCATTACAGTAAAACACCTGTACAACACTACAAAAAACATATGTCTGACCTACAGCTGGTAGTATTTCTTTCTGTCCTGGTAATTTGTGACACTACCATCAATATTTTATATAAATGTGTTGCTAGATTGATGATTTACGGTAGCTTTTTGTCCTGTTAATCCAAACATTTAAATGTTGAAATGTCAATTTTCGTAGGAGCTGGATTAAAGGTTTACTTACTTTTACATTTGTTAAAAAAAAAACTATTTAACATTGTCCAAATTTACATAACAATTTTCAAGTTGATATTATAGATTTTTGTAGTGTTTTGTAGTTGTTGTTTTTTTTAGGCCTATTTCAGTTGTATATACATTTTTACCTGAGAAAGATGTAGTGCTTCACCACGTAAGCATAGATTTTTGGTATGTCTTCAATTGTAGCTGTGAATATGAATGGGACACCACACTCATTAATCCAGTCCCCCAAGTCTTTCTGGAGTGCTGTCAGGTCCCCTGCAGTCTTGCACTCTAGGATCTAAATAGCAAAATCTGAGTGAGAACAATTTAGCTGGAGTTTCAAATTAAGCAATAATATGATCTGAGATTTAATAGTAATCTTTATTTATAGAGCAATGTTCTTAACTTGTGTTAAAAAATTACACTTATCGGTTTTTGTTAGGAAAAAAATAAAACTTACAGACGTAGGCATGTCACTTTCAAAAGGAACTGCAATGTTATCGTCCTCTTCCCCTTCCTCTGAATCATCAATGACAAAGTCATTGATAGAAGTACTACAACGGCAGACAGATTTCTTTGTAAGTGTCAATATAACTTTAAGGCATTTCAAAAAATAATTTCAAACTCTTCTGAACCCAAACACTTTTGGTACAGTTTTGGGGATAATCTGGTGTATTCAGTTATTATTATTAGTAAAATCTATGTAAAGTTGGGTATTATGAGTGTAAATTAATGTAAAGCCAGGTGTCACACATGGTTCCTGTTTTTATTAAAATAAAAAATACCTATTAGGTGGTTCCACATGTGCCCTTCTGTAAAATACCTGTAAAGTAAAAAATATTGTGTGGAATGTTCCAGTTAAAGTCAATATATTTGAAAAATTTAATAGAAGACATTAAATGGAAAACAATAAGAAAAAATAACTTTTGTCATGTAAAAGTTTACCTCTGGGGTACCAGCATTCAGCCACTGTGCAGGATCCAAACTTGCCACCTATTGATAGAAAAGAGTTACAATGTATATCTAACTGCATTTTACTAAGGTTAGCTTTAAAAAATCATATCTGAATAATCAGAATTAGATACAAAATTTACTCTTTTTTTGCAGCAACTTACAAGTGATGGGTTCGAGTCTGTCCTTGGTGAGCTTCCATCAATGTCAAGAGTTGAAGAGAGTGACATGGCATTAAGGGGAGGGGACTCTGCACCTATATGAGAATTACTGTTAGATGTGAATGCTGGCGTGTTCATAGGAACCGTAGGAGCAGGGGGTGTAACCTGGGGGGCAGAACGCGAGGCTTGAGGTCTGAGGGCCAGTGATGAAGCGGATTGGGATGGAAATACATCAATGGCTGCAGGGGCAGTGGTTGAGGCTGCAGGTCTGATGGCTGTCGATGCAGCAGTTGGTGTGGTCATCAGTTGTGTAGATGCTGAAGAAGCTAGAGACTGTGAAGCTGTCTCAGGTCCAGTTGGTGGAGATGTTTCTACGATGCTATGAGCCCCTTCAGGTTCGGGGATCTAAATGGAAAAGAAATGTTTGATAATTCTCATCAGTATGCTAAAATTCAAAAGGAGTGCTGCCCTAATAGAACAAATAAAACAAAAAAACTCACCTGTAACGGCAGTGTAATAGTGGTCTGGGGAATAATATAAACCCTGCTTCTTCCAACTGTTTTCTTCAGGTCTTTCAATGTATTAGCCTGAATTTTAGTCAGAACCCTGGTCTTATCAGCTCTTGCAAGATGATATCCAATGACATTCAGGCTAACCATGGGAAAGCTCTGGCAGATGTAATTATCAAACTCTGAAAGAGTCCAAGAAAGTTCTACGTAACCTCTATTTGAGACCCCACTTGGTAAATCATTTCTTGGGATTCCTGAAAAACAATACAAATTTACGTCAGCAAGTATGATATGTTGACTCATTTTTTCTTTCTAACCACCGACTAAGAGTTAAGGCCTTACAGTGTCTTTATAAGCCTTTAACAACATATATTGTTATATTTGTTATGTTGTGACAATATGATGTGGCTATTTGTGCCTTATGCACAATATGATTTTTTTTATTTTTTTTTATGGTGCAAGCTTAAAATCTTACAATCATTTTATATAGCACAGTAAGGGCAAGTCCACCTACCAAAACATGTCAGACAAATGGTACTGGAATGGGATTATGTAACTGTGGTGTTTGTGGTGTCCATAAAAACTCAAGTGAATGCTCACTTTCAAAACGAATACATGTGTATCTTACCTAAGCCTATTTGGCTTAGTTTACAGCATTCTGAATGAGATGGAAGGACAACTTCATCAGCATTTGGTAGCAGGAACAGCTTTACTCTCCAAACTCCAGGTGTCCTGTTTGCAGGGGCTTGTGTTCAAATCAAAAATATAGTGTGTTACATATTATTGCAAGGATCACCTTATTATGTACATTATATACTCATTATATTCATTCTCATGTTATGTCCTCAGTCATTGACAGAACATTTTAATATTTAATGTTCATAACATAGCTTAAATTCTCCCTTAGTCGCTGCTGTTAACTCTCGTACAGCACATATATTTGTGCAATATCTCATTTAAAATTACTGAGATCTTTACAGAGAAGCCCTCTAAATCAAAGTGGCAGCCCCCTGTTAAAGTGATGATCGACTTATACAATTCATGCATTGAAAAGTTTTGGAGGCTTCTCTTAACATCATTACACTCAATACTGCACGAAAATCATGTCCAGATTTATTTTTTCAATATTGTCAGAAAACATCCGTGCTTATCATTACATATTAAGAGGAAAATTGACCCTAGGAATGTATTGTGGCTTCAAATAGCTCTATGAATTGTGCATCATATGCGCCTGCTTTTTGCTCCCTTAAGGTCCAATTCACAAAGCATACTGCATAAAGACTTTTGCTTCATGCAGTTTTCTCTTGTTTCGTGTCTGATTGTGGAGTTAAGCCATCCGAACCTGCTCTCACTTCCTCGCTGTCTCGGATGCATTATCATACTGATGGTTCTCAATTCTGTCTACATACAGAGGAAAAACAGCGTGCACAGAGTACACCTCCCAGTTCACTAGAAAGTTGAGCGATACTTTAATATGTATGGTCTACACCCCAGATTATAAAGATAACGGTAATGTCAAAGTAACATTAACATAGGCTACATTATTGCAAATAAATAGTTATAGGTTATCCAGAGGCGGAACTGTTTTCATGATCACAGAAAAATGTCAATGGGTCATCAGAGACACTGTAGTAACGGTGCAGTTACCATTGAAAACGGCAAAGCACAGAGAGGCTATTTGTTCTGCAGTCACAGTTTGTCAGACGCAAAAGCCGCGCATTCCTACTGAGAATTAGGTCCGGATTTTTCCAATAGTTTCTGTTAGCTACACATAGGACAGCCATAGCTAGCTAAGCCTTCTGCTTAGACTTGACTATGAAGTGGGAAAAAAAAGGATTCGTTTAAAAGCCCCTTGCAATTCAGCATTGACACTGAAAATGGACATACTGAAATAAACTAATCAAACCGAACTTTACCATTTGGTGCTAATGCTAATTTAAGAGGGCTTACACATGCTACTTACCTGTCATCGGACCTGCTCTTCTTTGTCTCCGGAAAGCATTTCTGGTGGCACTCAAAATGTTGCTTTCACTCCTTTGCATTGCCAGTTCTTGTCTTGCAACATCCAGCGCATTCCACACGCGATTAATAATATTATTAAAACCACTTTCTGTGGCAGCTTCTTCTGAAGTCTGGCTCATGATACCGATAGCTTTGATTAGCAGTTGATGTCTGCCGCCACCTTCTGGTTATATTTGACCGTGAAAAAAAGCATAAAAAGCACAAAGAACCCCACTGCAGCTGTAGTCTACTTCTGAACGTGCAATTATGTGTCTGTCTTAGATGTTGTTGAAAAAGATTAAAATGCTTCAGTTGTAGGCTGTGTCTGGGTTTAAGAAAATGTTAGTTCGATTACAGTGAAAACTTAATATTTTATTTCACACATTCTGTGATAATTATATAGTTGTTTTTATTATTATGATTACAATAGTTTTCCTTACAATTCTGCTATGATAACAATTATAATTACATTTTGGAAACAATATTATTTAAAAAGGATTATGGTTGAATATATGTATTCCAACCATTAGAATAGGCCTACAATTGAAAATAAATGTATTTTAAATAAAATATTAATATTTTTTATTATAATAATATGTTGCTTAAAAGAAGACATTGTCTGACTTTTATTTTGCTTTTTTAAATCACGTTATGACCTAGTTGGTTTATTTCCAGTTCACATAGAAACATGCTGTCATTTGAAAGAACACAAAATAAATTGATCCTATAGTTAAAAAAAAGAAAGAAAAAAAACATTTAAAAAGTATAAATATTTGCATATATTTCAGTGACATGTCATTGCTTTAATTTCCCACAAATACTGCAATCACTAATAATCATTAGTGATTTTTATAACAAATAAAACAAAGTTTAAAAAACAAAGATTGGACTAGAGATCAATACTTCTCTGTAACATAAATAAAAATGTAATATCAGATTTTGTTTTGAGCATGGGTCATAAAATTCTACCAAAGGACATTCAATGTGTTACCATTTTGTGAAAATATAACATAAAACAAATAAACAAAGCTTAAAAGATTAGCCACAGTTTATCTCAAGGTACTATTCAGAGCTGGTCCTTTAAGGCTGGCAAAATCATTGGTTTGACATTGACCAATCAAAATCCTTGTCCCGACTGCTTCATCAGCATGCATACTACTAGTGCTACTAGTACTACTAGTGCTACTAGTGCTACTAGTGCTACTAGTAAGAGCCTAAATGTCCACTAGTAGTACTAGTGCTACTAGTACAACTAGTGCTACTAGTAAGAGCCTAAATGTCCACTAGTAGTACTAGTACTGTACACATTAGCAGTATGGAAAGCCGATTGAAGATTTAATAGATATCCTTGATATCAAAGCTCAGTTTCCTGTACTAGTCAAGTCTTTGGCCGCACTAGTTTACTAGTAGAACGTTGAAAGACTTACTAGTAAACTAGTAGAAGGCAAAAAGTCCTACATGTTAACTAGTAAGGTGCAAAATATCTACTAGTTAACTAGTAAGATATATTTTGTGTCTACTAGTTAACTAGTGAGCCTAAAAATGTTTACTAGTTAACTAGTAAGAGCAACAATGTCCACTAGTAAGCTAGTTTGACTCTTTTTAACCTTACTTGTAAACTAGTGAGGTTCAAAATGTTTACTAGTTAACTAGTAAGACCCAAATGTCCACTAGTATCACTAGTGATGCAGTTACAAATTTTACTAGTTTACTAGTGAGGCTCTTAAAGTCCACTAGTTAACTAGTTAGT